GGCATTCACCTGTGCTGAGCCAGGCCAGGGGTTTGACATTGGTATGCCTCGTCATACAGCAGACTCCTACCTACCCTGCTGGTGAGGTAGAGGACTGGGTATATTTTCCCAGCCTTGGCTGGACCAGGGCCATGGTTCCGAATGAAAATGCCTTAACATGATCCCTCTGTGTCCACCCCCTGCAGACACAATCCCACTATTTTAGTGCATAAATACTGTAGATATTCCACTTTGGCAGAATTGACAGTGTTAAGACCTACAAACACACTCTCTGCCAGACACCTAGGGTAGGTTTTAAATTAAAAAGGCTCTGGGAAGTCTTGTGGCCAGCAATAATATTTACATTGCAATCTGGCCATCTTGATTCACACGGTGGAGGCAACGGTGACCAAAAAAGGAATTCCTTTCCCCATATTCAATTTCCCACAAGTCTCAAGATAGCTAGCAAGGACTCTGAGCTCAGTAGATTTTAGAATTTCTCTCAGGCACAGAGTTGGGATTAGCCTTTTAAAATGCCTCTTCTTGCCAAGACAACCTGTGTGTGTACATTTTTTCCAATAGTATTTTTTTTTGCTTCTAAAAAATATAGTTTTTCTGGAATCTCATTTGTCTCTCTTTCCCTGAACTCAGTCAAAGGTTTTGGGGTATTTTTGTCCAGCTTTTGACTCCCTGCCACTCTGAAAAAGAGCTTACCATTGTGATGGGAAATGAACATTACAGAACACCTTCTAGCAAAGGATTCAAAAATCAGTATTTTGGGGACTGAAAGATGGCTCAGTAGCTAAGAGAACTGATTGTTTCTGCAGAGGATCCAGACCGGGGTTCAATTCCCAGAACCCACATGGCAGCTCACAACTATCTGTAACTGCAGTTTCAGGAGATCTAGCACCCTCTTCTGGTATCTTCAGACACAGACAGAAAGTGCTGCATACTTACACACAGGCAAGACACTCATACACATAAAAATTATTTTAAAAGTCAGTATTTAGTAGTTAAATATCACAGGATAGTTCAATTACAGCACTCTACTAGGATATAAAATCAGTATGTCACTTTGACATTTTTTAATATAGTAAATAAAATAAAATAAAATAGACCTCCAGAGTTTAACTTTGGTGGGCTTCCCACTCCTTACTATTACTTGAGCATGGGTGTTAGCACAAGAGAGGGCCAGGATGATAAAGCAGGAGAGAGATGAATGCACTCTTGGGTCTCTGTACTGACCCCAAGGTACATATGGTATCTCATTTTTCATTAGTTCCTAGTTCAAACTTGAGTCGGTGGGGAAAATAATCTTTGAGACACTTGCTGTGTTGAGGCCTCTTGTAGGTGTTTTTAAAATGATGCCATTTCACCTAAGCTCTGAACCTAATTTTTAACATGAGCTATTATTTTGAGAGACATGGGAACAGCCTGAAGCTGGCTGAAAGGATTAAGAATTTAATGTTTTATAAAATGCTATCACTTCTCTCATGCAACCTCATGGCTATCTGGGGAAGAATAAAGCTGAGAAATATTTTTTTGCAGAGACCACTTTTTAAAACAAGTTGACCAGAACATTCCAGAACCCATTTCACTGAAATCTTAACTTAGATCCAGTACACCCACTTTATAACTGGACTTCCTAATAACCTTTGTGTTGACAAAAATATTCTTAAAAAACTTTATGAGTCTGAGAAACACTTTGCAGCATACAAGATCTTGTTGTTAAACCAACCACAGCTGCCTGTGTTCTCCAATTATTTTATTGTTTTCAGAAAGTTGATTATCCTGAAATATAAAACCAACCTTGAAAAATAGAGATAAGGAGTTTCTGGATCTTACACAGGGTATCCTGTTTCCATGGTGATGAAACCAGCCCTTGATACCGGATTAACCAGGTGATCCTGGGTTTCCTGTTTTGCTTCCTCATTCCACATACCAGGGAGGGAGAACCACAGGCCAGAAGTATTCCTGAGAGTTTGAAAGACAAATGCCAAGAGGCTTGGGGGCTGGTTTCAGTCTGCCAAGGCCATCCAATTCACTGTTTTATGTATATGGTAGTTTACTTTAGACAACACCTGTAATAAAAATTCAAAAGCAGCTTCCTTTCCATTCCCAGTTCCCCCTAGATAGATCCTAAAGCTTGCTGCTAGCTTCCTCGACACCTTGAACATGTTATTATACAGGTTATGACAACAGCACCCAACCTTGAGTGTCACAATTTCCCTGTGGACTTCTAGGCTCTGGCCTGGATATATGGAGTCAGAATTGTGTGGTGGTTTACTTCTGCATGTCCATTCTTTTTCCATGTCCCTTACAGTTATCTGCATCCATTTAGATGTATAGGGTGTGTTGAGGTAGGATAATCAGATATACCCTAACACTCTGTCAGTGTCCATGAAAGTACAGAGTGCTAGGTACCAGCTTACCAGATCTGATTCTTGAGGTGTGGCTTGGAAATTGATCAACCAAGTTCCCTTCCACTCCTGGCTAAATTATTTCTCACACAGAAGAACCACTGATCTTTTAGGAGTCCAGCGGGAATCCTTGATGGACCAGGCATGTCATCCAAAGAATCAGGCTGACTGGGTGGGAGAGTGGCCAAAGGGAAGAAAGCTACTCTTCCACAAGAAGCTTGTTGCTATTTTGTATACTAGACAAAGACCTAGCATTGCCAGAGCTTTACCGTTTTTAGAAACTAGAAATAAGGAGAAACTTAAGAGCCACAAGATTCAAACAGCCAATAAACAGAGAGCAGCCACTGCCATCTTGTACCCTCTGTATTTGAGGGCACATATACATGAAATCTCTGGAAGCTGTCACTACAGAGCACCAGGAGAAGCCCATCCAAGTGGCCCCCTGGGATGAATTATGTAGTATCACAAAGGAGGACATCATCTACCGCTCAGCTCTCTTGCCCATACCGCATGTATCTGGATACAATCAGGCAGCCCCCACAAGGGCAACCTGCCATGCCACAAATACTAATTCAGGCTGTTTCTCTTCCATGCCATTCTGCCAAGTTTTGCTTTCCTCCTTTCTCAATGAACTTCATTACTAGCCACTAAAGATGGAAACATGGGTGTTTGCCTTCATCCTTTGCTCTTCCTCAAACCCCACACTGGATCTCTACCAAGTCTTGCTAATACTACTGCTAACACAAACCTAGATACTATCACTTTCTCTAGGCAACCTCCATGCACATTTTTCATCAAGAAAATAATACCCTACTGTCTCATGACCTACCAGCTTGATTTTTGTTTTTTCAAGACAGGGTTTCTCTGTTAGTCTTGGTTGTCCTGGACTAGCCTCGTAAACCTGGCTGGCCTAGAAATCACAGCAATATATGCGGCTACAGGACAGCCATCATCCCTGCTGGATAAAGACTTTTTAGGTGTAGCCTTTGCTGGAAGGGCTGTAAATAAACCCTTGCCTGTGCTTTGTAAGGAAGCCTAATAAATTCATGGTTCCTCAGAGAGAACTTTGGGAGAATCGAGCCTCCGCTTGTGGTTGGGGCTTTGGGAGAAGTGGATGTTGTTGATGTGTCCCCCAGGGAAGGGATTTTAGCAACACCAGCCTTAAATGTAAAAGCTTCAACTATGAATCAGGCAGGCTCCTGTTCACGTTGAAAGAATAATGGTGACCAAGAGTGCATTAAGCAGACAAACGACTCCTGGAGTCATGCTCAATCAGTCTTTTCTCCTAGACTTTCTGGCCATAGCTTCTCTCAGAACCCAGGTGTGGGATCTGGAGAAACCTCCAGCTAAGCAGCAATTCCGGCAGTAAAAGAGGCTCGCCAGGGATAGGGCAAAGCTTACAGAACCCCAAACCTCTCACCAGCTTCTCTTCCAATGCCAAAGCAAATGCAGCTGGGACTGTGAACAGTCATTATCCATGTAAGAGGCATAGAAGCTTAGTTGGAAACTTCTAGTTCCTTTACTCACAGAAATTGTCATTTTGCCATTTTCAAAAAACTTATAACCAGGGGGAGGGGCGGGGAGAAGCCACAGTAATTATTAAGTCTCTCAAAAAAATCTAGTAAAATTAAATTCCTTGCATACTATTATGAAAAGAGAAAACATTTTATTAAACAAAACAATGGATGGGAGGGTAAACCTGGACACTTTAACAATAAAACTTTTATATAAGAACATTTCAGTGAAATATAAAACAACCATTCCTCTCCCCCCTTGTTTCCACAGTTGCTCAAACACCCCTATGAGGAAAGAACAGAGCAGAAATCTATGGGTCTTTCACTAAAGATCCAGCAAGGAAAGTGCTCCTCCTGGCTGCCATTCCACTCACAAGACTGCAAAATGCAAATCTGAAAGCATATCAATTTATCCCTAGTCCCCAACTGGAGAAACAGGTGTTATTCGTATCTCCCTGGGTATTTTACTTTGGGTGACGAATGAAGAAGGGCTCTTTAAAATGTCACATCTAGAAAATATATCAACTAGAAATCAATGACAGAAATAATAGAAGGCTGCGGGTTTGTGCCTGGTGGCCTGGGCATATCAGCATGCCTTCCGGGTCTTGGATGTTTATATCCACATGAGTCTTCTTTGAAGTATGATTTCTCACCAAGTCAACGATTATTTTTTAGTAGAATGAATGTATGTGGGGGACCCCCCGGGCTGCTGCGACTTGGAGCTCTCTGGCTGAACACATCCCAGCCTGGTGAAGATGCCTGAGAACACAAGGCTATCAATGCCATCAACTGTCTTTCTATGTATCTTTGGAAGGTTCCAGTACATTCATCAGAAGCCAGCATCAGCAGCTTTCACATATCTTCCTTTGTCCCTTCTTCCTCAACTGACCAACTGTGCCCAGCATGTGGTCTAGAATATGAGCCCCAAACATAGATTGTTAATATGCCCCAGACTGTTGGGAGGGAGAAGCACACATTAAGGCTAGCTCATTCTTACTCATAATGTCACAAATGCATTTCTGTATATTGGGAGTTTATAAAGCCAACTGGATTCTTCAGGCCACTAAACCTACATGTTTTCAAATGTTTATTTTTCATAAAAGTAACTGTTCTCTTGAGGCGGCAGAGATGGCTCAGTGGATACAAGAGGTTGCTGGGAAGCCTGGTGATCCGAGACTGGCTCTTGGAGCTCACGTAAGGTGCTGGAGGAGGCAGCACGAGAGCTAGCTGGAAGCTCATGGCCTGGAGTGTACTGTAACAGAAACGAAAGACTTTCTCAACAGGAAAGAGGTGAGAAATGATGCCCAAAAGCTGTTCTCTGACTTCCACATGTGCACTGTGACACACACACACACACACACACACACACACACACACACACACAGACTTTAAAAAACAAAACAAAATTAAAAAATAACAAAACTAAGTATTTTCTTAAATAAAATTCTATAGCAAAAACATATACCACCGTAAGTACATGTCAACAACTAAAAATTAATGTGTCATGTTCAGGGTGTGAGCCTGTATATACCAATATTTGCGTGTGGTTTAGGCAGAAGGATCACTTGAGTCCAAAAGTTCGAGACCACAGAAGACAATAAGGCAGGACCTCATCTGAGGCTATCATCTATCCATCAATCGACTGATGGATCAAGCAGTCAGTCAATCAATCAGTACTATAGCACCCTCTTTCATTTGTCTTGGCCTTTCTGTGGTGACCATTACTGGCATTATTAAACTTGTGATACTCTCATTTTCTAACTTTTCTCTGTAATTCCCTTTGGGATGTCTTTCTCACAAGTGCATATTGGGACAGTCACTATCATTCCTGTTCCACAGGTGTCATATAGAGATGACAATAGTTTTTGCTCTAGAAGTGTAGCATTGGGTGTCTTTAGATGTGGGTTTTAAGTACACAGAATACATGACTTAGTTATGCCCTCCACAAAAGACTTCACTGTATAATGCTGATCCAGGCACCCCAAACACTTTTCCCTTGCTCATCTCTAATTCCAGACCCCTTATGTGGCTAATATCTCTAGATCTTGGCTTAGACCGTAAGTACCTCCCCAGGGGTCATCAGTAACTACCATGACTATCTGTCCCCTTCCTACACCCTTCGACCCATATCACAGCTGCCTGCCTCTCTGCCACACTTCATGAGTGTGAGCATCATGTCTGTAGACATTCCCTTTCCAGAAATACCGGTAAGCGCAAGGTCAAAGCAGGAGGGTGCACCAGTGACTGTTGTATAAAAACTGGCATCTGAACTCTGCCTGATGGGGAAAGAAGGATGAGTTTTCATTTGATGAGGGTGACCATTGGTGCTGAGAGACAGCAGAAGCAGTTATGGGGTCAGCTGGGAATGAAGACAGAGGAATGTCTGTAGCATCCTAGGAACACTGAGTAGAAGCAGGGGGCAGAGGGAGAGGCAACCAGATCCAAAACAGCCAGATTCTACCTGGGTCACCTACTGCTAGGCTAGACAGGCCACGTCCAGATCCACGATAACATACATCCTAGATAGCAGGTCTGCAGCATGGAGAAGGAGGGCCTGGGTTAACTACAGCGATTATCACCATTCAGATAAGCGACTTAGGAACCAACAACAGCTCTTGGGATGCGGGCTCCGAGCTTTGGACCAGGGTGTTGACAGCAAAGTGTGTCTTAAGACCTTCACAGACCCGAGAAGACTTACCAGACAATTGGGACTGGTTGGCTGTACTTGGCAAAGCATGGAATTGCAGTGCTGAGGAAGAAAGTTGGACACACTGGGTACAGTAGATGGTAAGTAAGTGGAAATGTCCTGGTTTGCTCTGGCAGCTGCATCATGGGGGGAGACAGGTCCAGAACAGTATCTGACTGCATGGTAGGAATTAAGAGAGAGGGCTGCACTGGGCACTTGAGCATTGTGAAGATCTTCAACAGGGCTCTCTGAACCAGAGCCTGACTGACCTGTGACAAGAAAGAAAGCAGGTGGCTGTGAGCGCTGTGCACAGCTCTGTGACTCTGCACTGCAGCATTTGAAATACATGGCCCTCTGTCTCATCCTCATACCACAGCTACTGCATGTAAACACGGATGGAAAAACAAAGTGCCTGTTCCTTTAACAATGCAACATAAGCATAGTTCCTTAGCATTCATGTGTCGCAAGAGATGTTAGAGGACAGGCAGACCTCTGTGCCGTGTGTGTGTGTGTGTGTGTGTGTGTGTGTGTGTGTCTGTGTGTGTGATTGGCTACCATCATAACCAAACTGACCATCTGTCCTGGTAAGTTTTATGTTAATTTGATACAATCTAGAGTCATCTGGGAAGAGAAATGCTCAATAAAGGAAATTCTTCCAAAAGACTGTCAGGTCCATAAGTGCATTTTCTTGACTGATGTGGGAGCTCCAGCCCTGGGCTGGTAGTCCTGGGTTTATAAGAAAGCAAGATGAAAAAGCCAGGAAGCAGTTCCTGTCTCCAAGTTCTTGCATTGAGCTCCTGCTCCGACTCCCCTGTATGATGGGCTGTAAGCGGTAGGATGAAATAAACCCTTTCCTCCCCATGATGATTTGGTCACAGTGTTTTATCACAGCAACAGAAATCCTAACTCCATTCCTATAAAGCAAGGAAGAATGTGAGAAAAACAAACAAAAGAACCCAACTACATTCAGCTACAAAGAAAGTTTGGCTTATTTTTTTCTTATGACTAAAGTAGGCCAGACCATTACACAGTTATATTTTAGTTCTACACTGTAGCTAAAATTCAAAGATTTTTAAAACATGTTTTAAAAGTAACTGCTAGATCTGGGGAGATGGCTCAGTGCTGAGAGCACATCCCTCTCTTGTAGAAGACTTGAGTAAAGTTCCCAGCACACACAGCAGGCCATCTCCCTCTAACTCCAGTTCCAGAGGATCCAACACCCTCTTCTGGCCTCCATAGGTACTGCACATACACGGTACATATACATACATACAGGGAAATACTCATATACATAAAATAAATAAATATTTTTAAAAATCAGGAGATAAAAAATGGGATAGAAAAATCTAGAGAAAAAATATATAAGTAAACAGTAATTAGTATGGCCAGTTACTTCTCAAATAGGAAGTGACAGAGGCAGAGGCAGGCAGCTCTCTATGAGGTTGAGGCCACCCTGGTCTAAAAGTGAGTCCAGGATAGCCAAGGCTACACAGAGAAACCCTGTCTTGAAAAAAAAAATCAAATAAGAAGTGATATAATTGGGGGACTGACTCACTGATATTCCAGATCTCTTTGGGGTTGCATGTCCCATAAAACTACAGTCCTATTATAGCTGTATCTTTCCAATAGTGGTATCATACTTTGGGTAATGTAATTGATCTCACAAAACACTCAGGTTCAGAAAATTCGGAACTTGTAGCCATCAACATTATTTTTTATAGAACATATATAGTATGGTATGTAAAGAAATATACTTACCAGGCACTGGGCATAGTCCCACCTTAATTTGAATTGATTTGGATCACTTTAATCATCCCATGTCACCCTGAGCCATAGGCACTTTGAAAAGTTTAACTGTGGCCTGGGGTGAATTCTTCCCTCTTCCCATTCTCCTCTCTTTTCCCCAGGTCAAAAGAAAGGCCTGAATAGACCATTGAAGTGTCCTGCATTTATTTCCTCTATTGTTGTGTTCTGTTTTGGCCCCTCCTATTATAACTTTGGACACAACCATAAGAACATTATTTTTGTCCCAGAGCTCGCCCTGGTACCCTAGACATGTATGTCACCCGTGCCTCTACTGTGCACTTATACACAATGGGTGGACCTGGGTGTGCTTTTGTGATCCTGTCTGCCACTGATTTCCATACAAGCATCTATCTGTGTTTTGCCATCCTTGAGTCAGGGATGGATGGCAAGCTGAGCACCAGGGGACACGCTTGCAACTAGCGGGGAGAGGGGTGGTCAAGGATATTCCAGGCACAGCGGGATGCTATGACAACTTAGTTCCTTGGAGGAAGGAATCAGAAGAGTCACAGAAGCCTGGAGGCTAAGGACAGGTGCACTCCTGTCATTCAGTAGCAGCCACTCAGACTAGAAGGTCCACATTTTACTTGCTCCTCCGTGGGGATAGTAGCCTTCAGGAATATCAAAGCCAGGCACTAGACTTGTACTCTTTTTCCTTTGGCTTTGTTCATTCCCATCTTTATTTCCATAACTATGTGGGATTGCCTAGGTTTGCACAAAACTGTAAAAGAAATGCCTCTAGAAGGAGGGTTGCATGTGTCCACATGGGTATTTGTACTATATTTATTTCTTGACCACCACTGCTCTAGGAACTGAAAATACAGTGATGAATAAAACTGGAGGGAAAAACTCCCTTCCTTCCCGGAGCTGGCATTATAATGGGAGAAGACAGCACTAAAAAGAGTGGACAAGTAACAAACACAGGCAGGTCCTAAATACCGTGAAGACAAGCCCAACAGGAAAAGTGGGTTAACGGTACCCTGTACTCTGTGTACAAGCAGGAACGAGAAGCTTTAACTATGTGGTTGAGAAGGACTCGGGGTAGATCCTTTAGGGACCTGAAAGAAGTAAATAAATTAACTTTCCAAATGCTCAGCACACAGTCAGCACTGAATTGGTGTGAGCAGTCAGTTCTCTGTATCCTTGAGCTGCAGATGCAATCAACCATGGATTGAAAGGTTTTGGTTTTTTTTTTTTATTATTATTTTAAATGAACTACAGCAAGTCTATACAAAACATGGACAGACTTTGTTCTTTAAACAATATGATGTAACAACTATTTGTGTAAATTTACATTGTATCAGCTATCACCCAATCCACCAAAGACTTAAAATAAGCGGGAGTGATATGCCCAGGTAAAATGCAAATGATATTCCATTTTGTGGAAGGGACTTGAGACTTTGAGGATCTGGGGTCTGCAGAGGGACTTGGACCAATCCTCTGTGGGTACTGAGAGACGACTGTGCTTCACTTTAGATTTCATTTCTATTCTCTAGAATTGAAATATTTCTATTTTCAATATACTTATCATCTGTTAGCAAGATGTACTTTTTGGCAATTTGAGGCAATTCCTAGGATAACATATTTGAAAACATTTATACTTTTATTTTATGTATATTTATATTTACTAAAAGTATTCAGTGACCACAGAACACAGAAAGAGCAGTGGCTCTCCTGTAACTGAAGGTACAGAGGGTTGAGAGCTGCCATGTGAGTTCTGGGAACTACACTCAGGACCTCTGCAAGACCAGCCATTGCTTCTGTCCCTAACATAACTCCTGTGGTTGAAAACTCGTTCCCCCAGCTGTGGCATTGTCTTGTAGAGCTGTGCAACCTTTAGAAGCTGGAATAGAGCTGGCTGGAGCTAAGGCCTTACACCTTCCATCTTGTTCTGATTCCTAAGCCTTGCTTTGTAATGTCCTACTGTGTGAGTGCTACCCCAGATGCCTTTGCCATCACAGACTGAAGCCTCTAGAACTGGGAGTTAAACATTTCCTTCCTGGGGCTGTTCTGTCAGGAATTCTGCCACAGTGACACAAAAGGAACTAACAGACTCAATTTAAACACTTCAAGATGGTGACGCCAGGACCCAATGTGTGGTGTTTCATCTCCGCTTGACTATACAGTTATGGCAAGAAATGAATGGGGACTCGGGGGCCCCCAGAGAGTGCAGAGACTCCATGCAGGCTCACGTGCCCTGTGAGCTGCAGTGTTAGACATAGCTCACCTCTTACAGCTTCCTCCGAAGGTCCTACAGAAGGCATGGTGTACACGTTCAAGCACTGATCAGCCAGGAGCTGGATCTCTTGCACGGGTGAGTAAGTGCTTGTCAGCATGCCATTTTCCCTTGAAAGATGAGAAGGAATCACTCTGCACATCCCTCCAGGAAGACACTATGAAAACTGCTGAATTCAAGGGCCTCTCTAAATCGTGCTTTAAAAGACTGAATTGTTCATGTGTATGAGTGTTTGCCTGCATGTATGTCTTTGTACCACATGTACACAGTCCCTGCAGAGGCCAGAAGATCTCAGGTCCTAAGAAGCTGGAGTTACAGCTGGTTGTGAGCCGCCATATGGGGTACAAGGAACTGAACCTGGGGCCTCTGCAAGAGCAGCCAGTGCTCTTAACCACTGTGCCCTCTCTCTATGTCCTCAAAGCCTTTCTACTAGTCAAGTTCTGAAAAACCCCAACAGAGTCCCCGCTGTAGATTATTTAAATAGAACAAAGTGGTACTCTGGACCTTTGATGATTCTTCATAGGTCTTTTTTGTTTGCTTGCACAGACTCACACATTTGAGTAAGAAAGGCATCACTTGACATGCCATATTTTATACCAGCCAGTTTAAGGACTGCTAGCTAGTTTTAGATGGACCAAACTCTGCCAGAGAATTAAAAAAAAAAATCTACCCTGCTCCTGCTGGACAAGTAAAGTCACTAAGATGGAGTCTCAAGGCCCCACTTTAAGGTTCTCAGGGTAACAAAGTGTGAGTCATAGAATGAAAGGCCCACAGCCCCGAGAATATTGGATGTGTTTATCCTAGGAATGGAGTGGTTAGTATTGGCAGTAGTAGACATTCATGCATCCTTAACAAACACCAGGGCTCTCACTGTCTATGTTTCCAGCTCCTGCCCCATCACCCAGCATGAACAAGGAAAGAAAACAACACGCAGGATATGGATTCACATGGCCCTCGCCATACCTCTGTGCTGTGGCTGCGCATGGAAGGAACAGCTCGATGGGCATCTGTCTCTTAGAAAACCTTTTATTGCTCTGAAAGGATTCTGTAATCTAAACAAGTGCAAAGATGCATTATAAAAGCAGGCCTGCAGACACATGGATTTGCAGTTATGAGAGCGAAAATAAAACTTGATGCATGGAAGCATTGCCGCATAGGACGTTAGAGACCAAATACCTGGGCCATAATGGCTGGAGAGATGGTCTCCCGGATATGCTTCACGTAATCAACCGTCGCCTCAATAACTGAAGCCACATCGCTCTTCCTCCCCTTGACATAGGGCAGGAGGGTGCGCAGCTGCTCACAGCAAAACTTGATGCGTTCTCTGCTCAAACAATTTTAAGAAAATAAGAAGGCATCAGTCTCATTTACTTCTTTGTTCCTAAGAATAAACAGTTCTTCTTCCTGGGTTTTTGTGAAAATGGAATGTCCTCATCTTTATCTGATCCCTGTTTAAGAAGCAGGCCATGTCCCCATAGGCCAAGAGGACTAACAGCTCCTGAGATCACAACTTCCAGGGTCCCCAGTCACATGCTACCCAAGGAACAACTGCCTTAGTATAGAGTCTATGCCATGGTGGCCGCAGCTCCTTCAACCAGGCCCACTGCTGTGGTGCCCAGGTGCCCAGACAGTACAAAGCACACCCCTCACAGCCCCTGAGGATCTGTGGATACCCTGCCCTCAGGAAAGAATCACACTCTATATAGACATAATCTTCTAATTCACATTAGAAGCCTAGCAGGCCAGAAAGAGTCAGGATCTAGGTAGGACCATATTTTTAGCAGGAAATCTTGGTGTCTTGTAACATGTGTTTTAATAGCATGCTATGGCCTGAACTGAAGAAAAACAAGAAGATAGCTTTCCTAAGCAGATGAACTAAAATACAAGGACAATGTCCAGGTTAGCATCCAAAGGCCACTAAATCTCAGGAGAGATTCATGGGAAATGTAGAACTAATTGATTCAAGCCCTTGGCATTTCCCCCTAAGTGCTTGTTTTATCCAGTTACAGCTTTGACATGTGCAGGCTGACTGATAATTACTATCTAGAATCTTTGGAAAGTCCCTAAATTTCTCTTTATTTCAGAATAGAAGAAAAATTAAACTTAAAAAAAAAAACTCATTTGCCATATTGTCAGGATGGAAAATAAGTCTTATTTTTATTGGGCTTCAGGATCTTTGGGGTTCTTCAGAATTGTCTCAAGAACTATTCCAGAGGGGGGGAAAAGCATTGAAATATCAACAACCAGACACTGTTATTGGAATGTTTTCACACAGAGAACTTCTACTTACAAAAGCATCTATGATGAAACCCAAACGCAGCAAACCTTCTGTGTGCAAACCAGTCTCACTAAATGTCAAAAAGTTGTCTAAACGCTTTAAACAGAAGGGTGCCTTAAGCAAATTAAGGTATATTAGATCTTCAGAATTTCATCTGCAGTGGGAATAATATGTTATAAATCTTACTGAAGAAAAGCAGTATTCAAGACAGGGTATAAAATGTCATCCTAGCCATTAAGTAAAGCAAGAATGAAATAATAAATAAATAAATAAATAAATAAATAAATAAATAAATAAATAAATAAATAAAGGCTGAGAGCAAAACCGTTAAGCCATTGTTATCTACACATGACTCAACTGTTAACAGTATTTCCCTCTTTTCTATAGTTTTGCTAGTTATATGTCATTTTCACAATGAAAAAACATGCCATTGCACATTGTTCCAATATGTATTAAGAAGACATCTGAATGTACAGGAAACTTAAGAGAATTAGAGGCAAATATTTATATTCTCACAACTTAGCCTCATTACTGTTCCCCAGTCATACTATGGCACTGGTCCCAGTTCAGTTATTTGATTCCTGACATCTACTCAGTGGTCACATTTGCTAGTTCCATTTAGACCTTTAGCCATGGGAAAGTTACAGGATTTATGGACATGGTCTCTCTGTATGAAGGAATGACCACTCACCTCCTCAGCTTTTCCTTGCTTGAGTGAAGAGCCGAGGCCCTTCTGTTTCCTTCAGGACTGGGCAACTGGGCCTTCAGTCCAACTCCAGGTTCCCTTTTCAGAAGCTCAGAGCTAGAAGCAGGTGAAAATCATGTCACATATTAGAGAGAATAATTGCCTGGCAACTGTCCACGATAAGCAGCAGTTCACCATTCAGACGGAGACTAAGTCTCCTGCTTCATACAAAAGGGGAGAATACGTTAAATCCTGACACGCCTGGAACTGAATCTTTTTTTCAGATTTTGAAGTATCACAAATCAATGATCAAAATTCAAAAATACACCGATTAAATATAAAATACAATCAGGACTAAGACATTGTAATTTTATCAACACGGCTATTACAAATTAGAAGTAAGTACTCACTGATAATGCTTTTGTTTTTTTCACTTTTATAAAAATATTGCAACACCAGTCCATTTCTCCTTCCGGCTGTATTTGATAAATTACATCTGATGGCTGATGCTTGAACAACCTGCTTTAAAGCAGACTGAGTCAGATGGCTCCTGCCCAACTGCGGGGTAGCATTAAGCGTTCTGAGCATGTTACAGGGCGAGCTGCGATGTTAGGCAGAATGGTTGCAGTTTTTAACTTAACAATTGTTTCTGCTGGGTCTTGAATAGTCCTACTGTAAATCAGAGCGTAACTGTATCTACCCTTAAGAAGTTAAGACACACAGGGCTGGAGAGACGGCCCAGGGGTTAAAAGCGCTGGATGTTCTAGTAGAAGACCTGGGTTCAATTTTGAGCACCCACACAGTGCTTCATATTCTGTAACTCCAGTTCCAAAGTATCTGATGCTTTCTCTTCTGGCCTCTGAGGGTACTATATGCCTGTGGTACACAGACATACGTGGAGCAAGACACACCCAAACACATGAAATAAAATTTTAAAAGCTAAGACCCATTACAGAGAAAAGAGCAACTTTACATGCCCTATTCTAACTCGATCAGCAAAAGTAGTTTCTCTTCCTTTTAAATTTTGTCATTCAATGGATGTTGTTCTGACGCTGCTATCTACAACAACAGTTCTCAACCTGTGGGCCTCGACCCCTCTGGCAACCCTCTATCTCCAAAAACATGTACATTACAATTTATAACAGTAGCAAATTTACAGTTATGAATTAGCAATGAAAATAATTTTATGGTTGGGAGAAACTATAGCATGAGGAAATGGTTAAAAGGTCCCAGCATTAGAAGGTTGAAAGTCCCTTATCTAGAACTTCAATTTTTGAATTATTTTATTATTTTATGTCTATGATATACAACACATGTGTGCCTGGAGCCCATGAGTGCCAAAAAAGGGAATAAGATCCCTGCAACCGAAATCACAGACAGTTGTGGCTAGGTACAGGGAATTGAACCTGGATCTTCAAAAGAGTGGCCAGTGATCTTAGCTGCTGAGCCATCACTACAGGCCGTTTGGTATTGTTTTTAAATTATTGAAATATAATGCCACTTTGTGTATGAGAGAGAGAGAGAAAGAGAACTTTGGTGTATTTCCTCGGGTGCTGCTTACTAGTTTTTGAGACAGGGTCTCTCTCAATGGCCTGAAGCTTACCAAATGGGCCATGCTGGCTGGTCAGAGTTCCCCAAGGACTGTCCTCCTAGATTCACCTCCCCAGTGCTGGGATTCTAAGCACTTATGCTTCCAACCTTTGTATTTGAATTCTGGGTCTCAAGCTCAAGTCCTCATGCTTGCAAACAAGTACTTTACTGACCAAGGTCCTCCTAGCCCTATAATCCACAGTGGAAAGATTATATGGGAGGATAAAAAAAAAAGCCAAAGTTAGTAGACATTGAAAAATGGCCTCATGTAGCATAGGAAAACCATGAAACCTCACAACACCCTTCTCTACCTCATACCCCAGATAAAGGATCATCTTTCCATGAAGCTCTTTGAGGCTCAGCTGCTAAATAAGATTCACAAAGCTGTTGCTAGCTGCATGCCACTTAAGTGAGGTCATCTTTGGTTTTCCACACTGAGCTGGCTGCCAAGTCCCTTCCTTGTTCTAACAGTAGATGGCTGCATTCTACACATTCTGGAAGTGCCTGGCTCAGAATTTTCACCATCATCAACATCCATGGGCTTTAGCACTTGTCCATCCTGCATAGTGCTAAGCTCCATTTAAAAACAAACAAACAAACAAACAAACAAACAAAAAACAAAACTTTTTGTTGTAAAAAGAGGCCAGCATTCACAAGAAGCAGATTTTTTTTTATTAAATATGCAAAGCTAACATGGGAAGAGTCTGACTCAAGTCTAACACCCTGTGGGAGGTAGGTTTGACTATCAGTTCTAACACCCCAAAGAAGAGAGACATACAGACAGGAACAGACAGAGCCCAAACCACAATGTAAAAAAAAAAAAACAAACAAACAAACAAACAAAAACCCTAAGAGCTTCCTCATGGAATATCTAACAGTTTTTCTAAATCACAGGCATTTAGTAGTTGAAGCTTTGAGTTTTGTGAGTTCAAAACAGACAACAGAGGGAAAGTGCTGTAGACACAGACTAGGTAAGGCTGTGCTTGTCTGTTCAAATATCAGAGTTTCAAACTGTGTTTGAAAGAAGGGAGTCTGCTGTTATCTTACTTGAATGGTGTCATGCTTTCTTATACTGATCCTCCTGTGAGGTGTACCCATGACCTCAACTCTAGAATCTGAAACAGAAGAATGCCACGTATCTTCCAGAGAAGAGCCCATCCCTCTGGACCACTCAGTGCCAGGGCTGTGTCCTGTTATCAGCTTCTCTGCGGCATCTTTAATAAAATGTATGCGGCGGACATCAGTAACATGGAAAAGTCGAAAAACATAAATAAAACTAACCAAACAAAAGTATCTGTAGGAAAATGTCCCCCGAGTTCACTGCAGGAATTCCGGAGGTGTAGTCTGTACTCTGCAGATGTCTCAGTGCTCTCCACATCCACTGCAAGTTTGGAAAGAGGCCCATTTTAATCATAGTATCACTACCAGTGATTCCTACAAAGCAGGGTTCTTAAAATAGAAAGCAAATGATAGATTTCAGTCCAAGAAGTGTAAAACCACTCAGATTAGAAGGTACCACTGAAAGGCTGTACACACTGTATCCCAGGACAATCCTCGTACCAGTAAGAACCCGGTAACTAAGTGGCATATTTTATAAAGTACCCACAACCGACTTTATGTATCACCTTCCTATTTAGAAGTAAATGTCAAGCAACTGTGCTCTCAAATTATAGCCTCAGGGGGAAAAAATCTGCAGCTGTTGGTCCTTGGACCAGTGATAAAACAACTGGAGAATGGTTGGGGTGTATCAAAGGTGCTGGACAGGTGATGAGCAGCTGCTGTTTGCACCCAGGACCAGACTGCAAAGGGACCTTGACCATTTGCTTAGTCATTCCCAGGAAGAACTCTGAGGTTACAGTGAGTAGGGGCTGGGGAGGGGGCATGATGAGAAGAGGTGCTACAAAGGAAACTTACTGCTTTGACCACTGAACCAGATATATTGACTCTGGAATGCAAACTTACATATAAGAATCCTCAATGTGTTTCAATAAAACATTGCTTTTAAATTTCAAGCCTTATGGAAATATAATTGTGAACGTGTGTGTGTGTGTGTGTGTGTATGTGTATGCAGTGTGTAGAGTTGATAAACATAAACCTTGTAAAAATAGCACAATCAAGTTAATTAGCATGTTCATCCCCTTACATAATTATTTTCTTGTGCACAAGTTGAAAAGGCCTAAAATGGATAGTCCCAGTAAGTTACAAGTATCCATACAGTACTGTTAATACAGCCATCAAAAGTGTATCTTAGGCTTCAGAGTTTACTCCTATGACATAGCAAAAGCTCTCCACTCCTTGACCAATGCTCTCTATCTGATACCAACTTAATTTGGAAAGATTTCTCTGCCTATAGCATGCAAAAATAGTCATTGAGCCACATTAATTCCAGAACGTGGAGGCTGTCTGCTGCTCTTTTAGGTTAAGCTAATTAGTGTTTAAATGTTGCTATACACACAATGCAACAGGTAAGACCACAAAGGAGAGGCCTAACTGAGGCATTGCCATTAATGCTTTGTATCTAAAACTATGAAGGGGAGAGAATGGTCCCCGCAGTCATTGGAAGAGGTAAATAATCATGCAAGTGTTTTGCAAAGGAGTTACTGTGTAATTCCAAGTTAAAGCCCTACTTTTTGGACATCCTTGCAATGTGGTAGCCTGATCAATTATACTTTAATAACAAAGATATGATAGTAGCTAGGTTACCAAATGAAAAGAAACATAGTAACAACCCCAAACAAAAACAAAAACAAATAGAACCCTTCCTCACACAGCTATCATGCTGCTAACTTGTTTGAAATTTCTGTCCATTTCAGCTTCTTTTGAAAATAAAGGAGATTTTTTTTCCTCCTTATTTGCGATTATTTCCTGACTATGCTAAAAAACACACTCTTAAAATACATAGCAAATTGTTAATCCACAATAATAGGCATATGTGGGAAACCAATTTAAACATGTGCAAACACGGTTTTTATAAAATTTTAATAGGAATTTTTAAGCCTTTAATAAGTATATTTTTAACTTGGGGAGGTAGAGGCCGGTGGATCTCTGTGAGCTCGAGGCTAGCCTGCTCTACACAGAGAAACCCTGTCTTGAAAACAAAAATGTGTATTTTTTAACTCACCCGTATTTGTGCAATATTCTTCCCAGTACTTTACCACGATGTTCACTTTTTCCAAGGTCAGTGGCTCACTGAAGCTAATATCAGCTCCATATTCTGAAAAATAGCCTAAAGAAATTACATTAAAACCAAACTTGTGATTCCTGCTTGAAACAAAATACACACCATATCAGGCAGTCACATACATACCTCTAAGTTTTTCAGGAATTATAAAAACAAACAGCAAATGTTGGTTTTTCTTCTTCTCAGATCTGAGGGAAAAGTGTTACAATGAAGCAAAATCATCATTCAAAAAAAAAAAAAAAAAGCAGACTCAAGAGCTTAACTTACTAGAAACTAAACTATAGAGGCCTTTAACTTTGAGAATTTAAAATGATGGTAAAACTTAAAATTCAGCCTCTTAGATCAGTGAGGAATGATATGGTGATAATGATGAACTGTTCTTTCTTTCTTTTCTTTTTTGTTTCTGTTTTTGTTCAAGACAGGGTTTCTCTGTGTAGCCTTGGTTGGACTCACTTTGTAGACCAGGCTGGCCTTGAACTCACAGAGATCTTCCTGTCTCTGCCTACCCAAGTGCTGAAATTACAGGTGTGTGCCACTGCGCCCAGCTGGACTATTCTTCCTTAACTAAGGAAAATAACCAAACCTTATCCACATTTTCAAATTCCTCAGTACTTTAAAAAATGTTGAGGAGCAGAGGACATTTCAAGACCACTGTAGGGATAAAATCAGCAAAATCCAGATTGGGGAAAATTACATAAAACTAAAAACCCTTTAAAACACATACATATGTGTGTGTCTGTTTGAAAAAGATACACATGTACAATTTAAGACCCCGCCCCCCCAAACACCCAAATAAAACAAGGTAGAGAAAGTTGAATTATGGATTTTTATAAAGTTCTTTTTTAGACTCACAAGCAGGAAACACTGAACATTAACTAGGTATTTCAACATTAAAGAATTATTAATGCTCACTTGTTTTAATATCCACCATAGCTCTTTAAAAAAATATGAAGATAAAACATTTTAATTTATTTAACTTAACAGTTATTTAAAAAGCATACTTATGGGACTAATATCAACATTGTATATCAAATAAATTTATTTACTCAATTAACCCCTTTGCTGTCACTTGTGCCTATTCTTACTCAGGTTGAAATGTTAATTCTTACAAAGCCATCTCAAACCGGCCACAAAAACTGTGCTATGAACTTCTGCCCAAGGATATGTGCTTCATTTTAAAACTTGCTACATTAGACTAATTTTATGTCGAATATATCATTATATTGTATATTATGTATTAAGAAGTCTTAAAAGCAATTTTCAAGACAGAAAGTCAAGACTTAAAAAAATTTTACCGTATTAACTTGACAACTTCCTGTTCTTCCATAGATAGGGTGGAAGTCACCTTCAAGAAAATTATGTCAAACGACTTAGTAGCCAAAAGCGCAACTACTTTCTTCACGTTGCTAATGGTCAGGGTGATCTGTGCTGTGTTGGAAAAGAATTTCTGTACAGAGCCAGACAGGAAGTATCTTGTGGCATCTCCAACTATTAAAAGGTCTAGTTTTCCCTAAAAGAGAAGGAAGCAGAAGCTGCATGTAATTACCAAACAAGAGTAAGAAATAACTCAAGGAACTGGGCAGTTGACCCTAGGGGGCAGGAAGCTCTTCATTGCCTCCATGGCCAGGGCTGTGCTTGGGTCAGACCATCCTGCTACTTTGTTAAGATCCTTCCCACTAGGGCCATGATAGTGTGGTTTCCCTGAAAACTTCTCTCTTGCCCCATTAACTGTTCAATTAACAGGCTCTTCCCTCCTTTCCCCACTCCCAGATTTTTTTAAGAGATTGTAGTCTGTCCTGCAACTCACTTGGTAGACTAAGCTGGCCTTGAACTCAGGGATCTGCCTCCCTCTCTGCCAAGTGCTGGAATTAAAGGCTTGTGCCATCACCACCCTGCTACAGATAAGGACCTATGATCCAGTCTTTCTCTCTCTTTCTTTCTTTTTAAAAAGCTGTTTATTTCTGTTATTCTGCTACAGCAACTGAAATCTTATTAACACAATAGTCAATCCTAAATTAAAAAGATATATTTGGGATTATACTTTGAAGTTCTATCCATTGTCAGTTGGCCTGGTGCTTTGGTGCTTGCTGTGAGATCATACATCATGGTGTGAGAATATGATCAGAACAGTAGTTGTCCCATGCTTCCCTGACATGCGCCAGGACCAAAGTTCAATCTTTAACACCATGGAAGCCTCCAGATGCAGGACTGGACCTCAAAAACTGTGAGCCACGCCAGGCATGGTGGTGCTGACCTTGAATTCCAGCACTCAGGAGACAGGGGCAATGAAATTAAAGTCAGCCTGGTCTACAAAGTGAGACCCTGTTTCAAAAAAACTAGCCAAACAACCAACCAAACAGCCAAAAACCTGAGCTAAATGAAGCTTTTTTTTTCTTTATAAGTTGATTATGGTGGGTTTCTGTTACAGTGATGGAAAGCTGGTTAATGTAGGGTAGAGCACTCATCAACGGAATTAAGTGTCCCAATAAGAAGAGGCCAGAGATCTGCCATGCTTTTTTTCATTTATGAAGACAAGTGAGTGAATAAGTCTAAGGGTAAAGGGCCCTCGCTGAGACCCCAACTGCTAAAGACTCTGGCTCCCAGCAACCCCTATGAGCCAATTTCTTAATCAAGACTTTTCTCCCGGGACATGTATTATGAGAGAAAGCCAAATCAATGGTCTCACATTATTTATTTTGGTTAAAAACACATTCCAGAAAACGAATTTTTTAAAATCTATATTTGGTGCTGGAGTGATGGCTCAGTAGTTAAAAGCTCTGGCTACTCTTACAGAGAACCCAGATTTGTTCCCTGCACTAATATGTCTGCTTACAGCTGTTGCCAACTCCAGTTTCCAAGGGATCTGGTAACCTCTTCTGGCCTTCACAGGCACCAGGCACACACAGGATGCACACGCATACATTCAGGCGAAAAACACAAAGACTTGTTCGTAGCAATCCTTGGCCACATGCAAACTGTGGGTTGATAGGGACCCTTGTCTCTCTCCACACAAAGCAGCATCCTTCTCATGAATAATTCCTTCTCCCCCCATCTTCCATGCACTTTTGCTGGGAATGCCGGGAACTTAAGTCTTCATTCTATTTTTTTTTGTATTTGTAATTCATATTTATAGATAATAATTTTGGGTGTCATTTCTTTGACCTGTACTGTTCCTTGTAGCTTCTATTTGCTTCTACGTCAAAATCACCATGTCTCTGAATTTTGAAGATGATGGTCCATCTCTTTGTGATATTCAGATTGGCTGTTGAAAGCACCAAGCAACTTTGCTTTCTTTGGGTGATACTTTTTTTCCTCCTGTGTTCTGACAGTGTCAAAGTAGAAGCACTTCTCATTGGCTCTGTAAACAGATATTTCTTCACCCATGAACCACCTTCTCCTTCGTTGTCTTTCTCTCCTTGAGAATCTTCAGGAAATGCTAGAAACCCAGGAAGCTTCTTCCTCTCCGTGTCTCTGTAACAGAGTCAGTCTTCAATCCTTTAAAAAGTACTGAATTCAATGTGAATTGTGAATTTTTTAAAGCTTTATTTTCCTTTCTGGCGTCTCCAGGGCCTGTTTGTTTTTAGAATGTCATCCCTTCTTGGAAGACAGAGATTGGAATTTTACGCGTGTGCATGAGCCCTGTATCTACGGCTGGAGGTCACGGACAACTCTGAGAGGCACTTTTCAGGCAGTGTCCACCTTGGTTTTTTGAGACAGGTCTTCCTGAGCTTGGGACTTTTCAAGTACGATAGGCTCTCTGGCGAAAAAATATCCCCCTATCTCCACTTTCCCAGAGCTAGAATTCCATGAACATGGAACTATGCCTATGTATGTATGACTGCACATGTGGATATCTGCATGTGGTGGGCAGAAGTCTGCACGGGATTCCTTCCTCTCTTGTTCTCCATCTTAGTTTTTGAGACAGTCTTTCTCTGAACCTGGAGCTCGCGGATTTGACTAAACTGGATGACCAGTTGTGTTCCAGGAGCTTCCCCTGTCTCTGCCTTCCTGATTCAGGGGACTAGGAGGGTTGCAGCATGAGACCCCCTTCCCCCACATCCCCCTGCCTGGTCTTTACACAGATGCTCACATCTTCATGCTTGCACAGATGCACTTTACCAGCACAGATACCAGCCCTGCTGTCTCTTCAGCCTTGTAAATTAGGGCTCAAGAATTTATGTGTATTCTCTCTCATCCTATCTTAGAAGTGTCAAAGCAGGTTGCTTATGAGCAAAACAAGATTATTTCTCGTCACCCTGGAGATTGGGGGTTCCAAGATTAAGGGGTTGGCAGGTCCAGCACCAAGTGAAAATGATTCCTGGTTCAGAGAAGGCAATGTCTAGTGTGCTTTCACACAGTGCAAGGGCTGATGGGTCTACCTTGGGCCTCTTTTATAGGAACACTAATCTTTTATTGTTGATTGTTCTCCTGTCTGGCTTCATTTGCCTTTGTCTGAAAAACTTACAAATCAAGGATTGAGTGGCTGTGAATGTCTGCACAGTGGCGCTGGTGTGGCTCCCCAGTGGTGGCCTCCCTTAAGGAACACTGATCTGGGTCCTGTGTGAAGGAGTGGGATATTGTGAAACAGACTGGAGAGCTGAGCATCCAGGGCTGGGCCCGCTCCGGTTCCTGGCCACACAGAGGACCAGGAATTAGCCGCACTGGGGGACCTTGGTCCCACCTGCAGCTCATTTTCTGCAGAGAGCAGCTCCCTGGCATATCCTGGAGTTAAAGCATCCTTGCTCCAGGTGTTCCGAATCCAACTACTTCCACAGCAGGTAATCACCCTCTCTCCACACCCGTGTGGACCTCTGTTCCTGTCCATCATCTGCTTCAAGGCAGCATCTCTGCTCCCCCTGGCTTCAGAGCTGGAGTTGTGAGAGAAACTGCTGTGTTGGAATCAAGAACCATTCACCGAATTCAGGCAGTTCTGTCTCCTTGGGTTTTAAGGTATGGTTGCCCCTCCCCTTCCTTCAGTGTTATTTACTTGCTGGAGGCCTCATTATTTCGAAAGTGTCTCCTGCTGTGGAGTTTAGAGCAGAGGAGGCGGAGAAAGCATTTAAGCGAAGTCCACAGGCAGGGTCCACTCTCACTCACCTGCCCCACCAGCATCAGAAAGGATAAATAGGCCCAGTAGTTAATATGTGGAGTTTTTCGGTGTTGTTTCTTTGTTTTGTTTTTGCAAACTGACACTCTCTGACTTCACCAAATGTACTTCTATTTTCCTCAAATATCTTAACATTTTCAAAATATAACTTAATGTTTTCTTTAAAACTAATTATTTTGTTAATTGTTTGAGACAACAGCCTTGGTGTGTTGCCCAGGCTGGCCTCAAACACTCGATTCTCCTGTCTTGGCTTCTGGAAAAACATTGAGGCCCTTTGAACTGTGTTTGGTATGTGCCTGTGTCTGTGGTGGCTGTGGGTCTGTCTTCCTCTGTCACCCTCCACCTTATATTTTGAGGCAAAGTCCCTCACTGAACTTGGGTTCACCCACTGGGCTAGAATGGCTAGCCAACAAGCTCCAGAGATCTCTGTCTCAGCACCCCCCCCCCAGCACTGGGGTTACAAATGCATGCTGCTGTGGCAGGCTTTTATGTGGGTTCTCATGTTTGAGTTGCAAGCACTACACCAGCCTAGCCACCAACCTCTCCAGCCCCCTGATTTTTCTTTTATTTCAATATGGTAATTTTTCTCTTGCTGAGCCATTTGAGAATCAAACAGCGGGGTATAAATAATGACACTAACAATATGTATAAGCCAGGGACCTGGGGATAATTTGTAAAACTTTCTATTGGAAAGTCCCTTTCTCTTAAGCTTCTCAAACATCTTGCCACTTAAGTGTGCTTGATAATTACTGTCCCCACAGGTATTTATTGAGCCCTCCTGCTGGAGAGAGGCAATGAACACAGGTGAAGAGGTAGTCGAGCACCCTGGGCACAGGGCCTTCCATGGCTTCTCTGTTCGGGGACCAGCATCTACCTCTTGCTTCTAGGCTGCACTACTGGCTCTAGGTAAGAGACTCGTAATGCATCTGAAAGGCAAGCTCACAGTACATGGCAGACACCTGAGCACACAGAAGACACACACAGGCACACACAGACAGACACAGACACACACACACACACACCCATTCAACCTGACAGAGTGGAGAAAGGAACTGCAGGGAGGATGCATTCAGGCTGGGCAGTGGGGACAGCTCTAGGGGGCTCTGCTCTCAGGAACTTCCTGAGTCACAAGCACAATGCTCTGGGCCTGAGGAGGTGGGGAGCAGCCAGACAGGGGTGGGGAAGCATGGCTTCCTTCCCATGCTCTGTACAGGAGCCTAAGGTTTGTGAAGTGTTGTGTGCTGAGTGAGGCACACAGTGCAAAAACAAAGCAGTTCCGGAAAGATCTGAGCTTCTTTTCCCTGACCAACAAAATTAGAGCCACAACCTACTCAGGGTGTCAGTAGTCACACAGATTAGAACACAGAAGGCCAATCAAGTCCACAATCTAGTAATATCAATTTAGCAAATAAACTACAGTCGATTTAAATCTGAATATTTACTTAGTATCTTGTTGATGCTGTAACATCTGAACACAGGCAATAAGAAGGTTTGCCAATAACGAAGGGAAAAGGAATGGAAAATTCTAGCATATCCTCCTTTGCAGAATTGCATTTTAACATGTCTATGATTTCTACCTAAGAACACAATTGGCTGGGTTTCATTTGACAGCAGTTTTTCCCCCCCAGTATGAATTGCTTAGTGCACTTTAAAAAATACATATTCATTGGAAATTTTAAAAAAATGAAGTAAAAAATGCTCTTTTGGGGTAAAGCCCTATTAACACCCTGCCGGGTACCCTTTAATTATGGGCAGTTTTATAAGGTCGTCGCATCGTGTCCTTACCGTCACGCCAGTGTCCTTATCTACTCTGTCTCATTTCTGATGGCAGCGTTCAGGGCGCTGCAGTCTCTACAATTGTAGAGCACTAGGCTTCCATCTGCGATGGGTGGCTGGCGAAGCCCTTAATTAGTAACAGCAGGTGCTGAAGTGCTTAGAGCAAATCACTCCTCCATTTTAGTGAGCTGTTATTTATGTCACCCTTATCACGGAGAGCAGCGCTGACAATCAGCAGCGGCTGCCTGGGCCACAACTCTCAGAGGGCAATCACTGGCCTCTGATTTCCCGGGAATCCTGGGATTTAGCTCTGTCTGGAGAGACTGAGCTGGTTGCTGTTCCTGCAGAGACTCACAAGGCTCAGCGGGGGGCTCCACGCTCTGCCTGGTCAGAATCTACAATTATTTGTGTTCTAGATAATCAGGTGTTTTATTCAGAATTCCATTTTGTGCAGCTTTGCTTTTAATCCCTCACCACCGAAATACTTTTCCTTAGAGCTTTTGCGCATGTACAAAACCAAACACCAGACGCCAAAACCGCTAAATGACCTACAAGAAATAATTGGATTTCCAGAAGCTTGTTCCTAAGGGGTCAGAAGATTAAGCAGTCAAAGCCTTCTGAAGGTTTTAACAAGCTCGTCTAGGTACAAATGCCCCCTCTTACTTGTCCAGAAATATCTTTGAACAACAGATAACGCTGGCTTTACTTTCTGGTGTGAGTAATTTTCCTCTACGCTTCTCTAGCCAGGCCATCAGCTTTCCCGCTCTGTTCTGTTTGTTTGTCTTATAGTCATGGCCTCGTACTACAGCCCAGATTGGGCAAGCCTCCTGCCTCAGCAGCCATGAAAGCACACGCATTGTGGACGTAAGTCACCAGGCCTGAAGTTCATTTTTTTATCTAGTAGAGTTACCCTGTGGGTCACCAACGGTCTGGTCAAGGTGCATTTCTGGGGCCTCTATCTTCAGGGTGCGGATGCTGCACGCACTGCCAAGCGCGCTTTGTTTGAGCAAGGCTACCTTGGGTCGCCATCTTCCTAAGGCCAGCAGTTCAGGGACAGGGATGCCGGAAATAAAAGCAGATAAACGCGCGCCCCTGTATTTACCTTTTCCCATAGGAAAGCCCAACCCTACTCTCTCAATTCCAAGAACCGCCCCGGGGATCAGCTCAGAGCTCCAGGGTCAGGGGTTCAAAGTCTGGCCCCGTGGCCTGCTTGCCTGAAGTAATATCTCCACACCGGAGCTCGGCTCCTGGCCTTTGATGGAAGCCTCTCCAGGGTATGCTTTTGCAGGGCTAGCTGGCGGGGCAGGGTTCGGGTGATGCTCACAGCCACCTCCCACCGGCTCCTACCTGCCCTGGCCTCCGGCCTAGCTCCCCACTGCTGATCAGGTCGGCCATGGCGCCTAGTGCTCTGCAGCTTCTTCGCGGGCTCACGCTGTGAGGGGCGGAGCGAGACGCCGGGAGCGCCCAGGGGCTGTGGGAGCGCTGGGCAGAGTGACGTGGACACCTCAGGCCCGCCACTCACGCCTCCGGCTGGCCTGCAAGGCTCGACTACGCATGGGCAGAGGGGGAGCCGCTACAGTGCCTGTAGTGGGCTAGCAGCTCTGGACTCCATAGATGCGCACTCTTGTCCGAAACAATATTTTTGCCTGTGCGTGTGAACAGTTTCGTATGAACAGTGCGTGTGGCGGCTCCTTTAATTCAAGATTTTGGAATTGCTCTGTTTTGTGCTGAGATTTAACACACTGGCCCCGTTCTCTCAGCTGAGAAACTGCCGCAATGAAGAAGTTTCTGGCGGCTGCTGACATGAGAACCAAACCCCATATTCATTCAGCGCTGGTTCCTCATTTTCTCGAGAACTTTTGAGCAAAGATCCATCTCTTGTTACTGTGCCCAGGTTTTTCTAATGCTTAGAAGCCTCATGTGTGGTGACATGTCTCACTTGAACACAACACTAAAGGGCTTTGTGTGACCCACCGCTGCAGGTGGTCTGGCTCCCAGCAAGGGTATCCTGAGCTACTGTTGCATTCTGCCCTAGGGGTCTGATTTAGGTCATCAGAGTATGGAAAAGTCGTCCTGTGCCTCTCTGCTATTCGGATGGAAAGAGGTGAGATAAATTGTTTTGAAGATCCTTCTTCATCCATGGTTCTACCAACTGTGGGCTGAAAATATGAGAAAAACGCCAGCCAGGTGTTGTAGTACCTTCCTTTAATCCCAGTACTGGGGAGACAGAGGCAGAAGGATCTTTCCCGAGGCCAGCCTGGTCTTTCTAGCAAATTCCAGGACAGCCAGGATGCAAACAAACAAAAGAGGAGAAAACTGTATCATTACTAGGCAAGGACAGACCCCCAACCCCTTTCTCATCCCCTGAACAATAGTAGACACTATCCACACCATGCTAGGTATTACAAGGGGAGTGGTCCTTATCTAAAGCCTTCAGGCCTGAAACCTTTAGCAAATGTAGGAATGTCTTCATATATAAAATGAGATGAGACCTGAATCTAAGCATAAGATTCATTCTAGACAACACGGTGGTGTGATTCAGCCCTTACACATAATATTCATTTATGTTCATAAACACTGTAGTCTCAGAACCTGAAGGTGAATTTATGTAGATTTTTAAAATAAATTTGCATGCCTCCCCGTAGGCAGTTGGGTATGGAGAAGGGATCCTGTGAAGGTCAGCAAAGAAGTTTCAAGTTTTGGAAGAGTTTAGATTTTCAGATTAGCTATTCTCCACCTTCATGAGCAATCTAGATCTGATTGAAAGGAGATGTTGTTTATGTGCAAAACCAACAGCACTTTCTATAAATGACCTGAGTGCCAGCATATCTAAGTATCTGCAGGGGGCCTGAAATCAATCCTCTGATTATGCAGTGAAATCGGTACATGTGTGCATTTTAATAAGCCTAAATTCCACCTTTCTGCTGCTTTCCACCTCATCAGGGCCTGAGGATAAGTAAATCTCTGAAGCGCAAGGCCTGCTCGTCAGTGTGAGATGTGGGACACGGGTGAAGTCATGACCAGACGTGGGGGTGTGGTGTGAACTGAAGCCACTTGGAACATTTTTCTCTTGATCGGTAACCAGCGTTCCTTTGTTCTGGGGGTGGGGCACAGCAACTGTGAGGCTAGGATAACTAGCACACACATATTTAGTTTGAATTAAACATGGCATTAACGTTGTGTGAAAGAAAGTCATTCCTAAGTTGGCAGTGGAGTAATTTTTTTGTTGTTGCGTCTAGAGTGTGAAAGTCCAAAATTGGGAAGAGTCAACCTAGATATTTTGATTTTCGGCATCTCAAAAGAGAGCTTAATTTTTAAGTGCACAAATATTAGTGTTTTACGGTGAATCTCCCTGAAGGGGATTTGGCCCTCCCCTGATTGACACTGGCAATGTCCAGGGACACTGAGGTGAACTGGCTTCCAGTTGGCATTGGCAGAGTTACGTGATGCTGCCAAATATTCTCCATTGATCAGGGAAGCCTTAGAAGTCTCTTCTCAAAGTGGTGTTAGTGTTGGATAGTGAAAGCCTGCCAGTCAACATGGACATGATAAAAGAATATAAGCCATTGATTTCCTGTGTCGCCTCTAACCTACGCTCCTGTGTGTCACCAGAGAAAAGTGAACAGATGACACTTTCCACAGTTCCTACCGCATCAGTAAACCAAGTATAGTACCATGATATAACTATCACAATGCTAATTCTACATTGATAAACTAGGAAAATGCATCCAGAATTACCAATTCAGTCTATCATACAAGACAGCTAGGAGGCTTGTGAGTCTTACTTGATTTCCCCTAAGTAAATTACAATTGTATTTTTTTCCCTTTCTTTCTCTTTCAGGACTGGAGATTGAACCCTGGACCTCATGCTCACTAGGTAAGTGCTATACTAATGAGGGCTACCTCAGCCCTCGTATTTACTTTTCATTTTGAGATGGGGTCTTACTAAGCTGCTCAAGCTGGCCTAGAATCTGTGATGCTACTGTCTGCTGCTGTGTAGCTAGCACTGCAGACATGTGCCACCAGGCCCATTTAATTGTATATATTAAAATGGACTCTTGTATTTAAAAAAACAAAGCAAAACAAAACCTCCAAACTTGCACAGTTTGGAAATCTTCACTGTTGATATGTCTTAGTGACTATTATAAACCATGTGTCTAAGGTGGCTGATTATTCTGCCTTATTGAAAGTTGTCTCTTTTCGAAGAAAATGGGACTAAAAGACAATGTGTTCATAAGACTTTAACCACAAAACCTGAAAGCCAGAAAATTCACCACTTTCAGTTGTTATACTTAAAACCTTTCCTAGGTAAAACACTACTAAACACACACACCTTTATAATATATATATATATATATATATATATATATCCTATATGTTTATATATGTGTGTATATATCACCTTTGCAATAAACATGACTACCAGCCCTCCACTAACCATTATAGAATTGTAAGTTCCATTGTAGAATTATAAACAGAAATGTTTCTATAATGTGCCAACTTCTGCTTCAGTTTTCATCTCCTGTTGGCAGTGCAACAAAGAATAGCCAGAACCAAGGCTTAAACCAGAAGTCAGAATATTAACTCCTTGTCTTAAAACCTCTACTGAAAATGCTCCAGGACCTCACCTGTGTCCAACAAGGAGCTCTCACCTCTCTGACTCTGTTTTTTACTGTTCTCACCTCTCAGGGTCTAACCATGATGCCTCTTCCTTCTTGCTTTCATTTTCCTTCCAGGTTTCCATTTTGTAGCTCTCTCCTGCGGTGCCATCTCCTGGGAAACTCCCACCAGAACGGAGCACCTTACCCTATTTTTCTGTACACTGTTTACACTGATGTAAATAGCAATATTCTGGGGGGTTTCACCCCAATCCCTAAAATAAAGACCTATAAAAACCCTGACTCATAGCTGGCATTAAGATATTTGAATCAAAATGAATTTTGGAGCTGAAAAGTTTGCTTAGCAGTTAAGAGCAGCAGCTGTTCCTACAGAGGACCCATCGTCAGTTCCCAGAACCCACATGGCATCTCATGACCACTTGTACCTCTGGTTCCAGGGTATCTAATGCTTTCTTGTAGCCTCCCAGGATTTCTACATGCACATAATACACAAACAAACACACACACACACACACCAAATGCAATACACACATGCAAAATACACACACATTTTCTCTCACATATACAAACATGCACACACAGAATCAATCACACACACACAACCACAGGCACACATCTCTGTCACACAATATATATAAAATATGTTTTAAGAAAGGGACAAATTAAGGACATCCAGTAGTTGATTTGCAAAAGTGGACTTTCTTCATGTCTTTAAAGATACGGGTCTATGATCTAGTCCATTTCATACTGCCACCCAATGCATACTGAGACAGAAAAGATACAGTTTGTTGGAAAGGGAAAAAATTGCAAAATCAAAATGAGTTCACTGTCAAAGCAAATGTGCTGTCATCACATGGGTAGCATATCCCAGAGAGGAAAGGGCCGGTTTTGTCTTGTCCTTTCCATACTTCAAAGTGGGCAAGAGCGCCTCTGCATAAAAACTTGAGTTTCTTCCTCAGTGTGACAGTAGAACCCACACTGTCATTCCCTCATCAGGCTTTCAAAACTCAGGTTTATTCAGGGTTGACTTTCAAGTCAACCAAATTACCCTCTTTTCCTTAACAGTGGCCCGGAATGCTTGCAATGGTTTGCAGCAGAGGATCCACACAACCAGGCCGTGGATCTATGGAAAAAGCTGGATGAACAATCTGAAGCCCATAGAAGTCCCTGACTGCCCTTAAAGATAGCATCTGCCACCAAACCTCTGTGATACAGCTCATTCCTCATCTGAGAGACCAGACCCCCTCTTGCTTGCATGTCTCCTTTCAGCTTCTTGCTCGGCTCTGTGAGCCCGGAAGTGTGATTCTCACAGCTGCACCCTTAAGTTCACTCTGCTTGACCATGAGTGCTCTTTTCTCCCCTGTGGATCTTCCCACGGCATGCACTGACCTGTGCTTTGTCTTGTGGGAAAATAAGACAAAGTGTAATGTATACCTAATACCCTCTGCTGAGGATGATACATGTCTCCCTTAAAAGTAATCTGCTGAAATTCTAACTCTGAGATGATGGTGTTGAGAGGTGAGATCTTTGATAGGTCATTGTGTCATGAAGAAGGAGCCCTTGTTAATTACGCTAGTGCCCTTATGAAGAAGAGGCCTGAGAGGTCCCTCGACCTTTCGAGGCAGTGAGCACACAATGGAATATACCATCTATAGAATTGTAATCAGACCATCTGTAGTCCACCGAAGCTTCCAACACACTGATCTTGGACTTGGGAGCTTCCAGAACTGGCAGAAATAAAATTGTTTTGTTTTGTTTTGTTTATCTAAACCAGTA